ATGAATTTGAGCTGGATGGGGAGATGGTTACTTTACCACCTGTGTAGCTCCCAAATTAGACTGTACAACCAATTCTGTGCTCAGTTATACTGAAAGAAATGGTTGTGAAAGAACAGGTTTGGAAATAGAAATGTTAAACCTGTCCTTCATGAGTTGTATTTTTATGCCCTACCTAACATTTGCAGCCATTCAGTATAAATCAGTGAAATGAGCAGATATGCTTCCATAATCTGAAATATTATTATCTGATAATTGAGAAATATATGTATATCACAAGCTTAAGCATCTGACTTGTCTAAAGAATTAATTTCTAGTTCTATAAAGTCTCGGTTCAGAAAATTAGCTTCAGAAAAGTAGTTACTGTTTCTAGGATGATATGTCACAACTGTTCTGAAAGTATCTTCCAGTTATATTTGAACTACTTCTGGATATCCTACTTAAGTGCTAGTTATGTAACTGTCAGTGTGGCCTAATTAATGGACTGTGCTGCACTTAATACTAATATCCCTGTTGGTATAGTAATGCCATTAAAAGAAAAAGAAACAAATCCCATGGATCTACCTGTGGTAGGAAGGGTAGATCTTCCATTGTATGGTAACATGCAGGGCAAAATGACTGCAGGTTCAGTCAAGCTGTATTATTAGGTGCATGTATTCTATTTTCACTAACTTATACCTGTCTATTTAGAATACAGGTCTTCCAAGCAGCTGGTAGTTTACCAGGTGTGGACTTAAGTTGCTGGGCTTGCAATAGGAATTGTCAGCCCTCATAGTGCGGGTCTATGTGGAGCTTTAATCAGTAAATGTCTCCACATTCTGTATTACAGTAACATTGGCTCATGTATATTACTTCCTGCTGCTGATGTATTTTTCCATTGTAAAACAAAGTTTTAGTGTGGATTAACCAGGTCTTTATTTTCTGTTAATTTAATAACAAGCATTACTGTAGTGTGATTGTGTATAGACATCCCTTAGCTATCAGGTTTTTTTTTTTACTTTTTTGGGGGGGGAGCAAACTGTTCAGGAATATCCTGTGCTCTGTGTGCAGGAGAGCAGATGACTAGTGCTGCTCTGGCATTAATCCCAGGAACCACTAGCCGTAGCGGGGCGCCGCCAATCTAACATGAACACAGGTGCTTCATGACAAACCTTACTAGCATGTTCAGCTGCATCATGTTCTGGCACTGTATTTTGAATGACATTAATTTATTAAAAAAGACTGAATCCAACTGAGTTTGGGTGTGCTTTGTGGTTGAGGTTGATATAGTTATGTCCCCCCGCCCCTTGCAGAAAGTGGTTTGTTAAAGACTGTTTCAAATAGTTAAGCTGCAAGAGGCTTGGAGGCATGTCCGTTTGTTAGTTGCATGTGCTCACTAGTTGGTCAAGAGCTGGACACTGACTGGACAAGTTGAACTGAGGGTTATGTAGGACCTACCCCCAATAGTGAGATTTCTGTAAATCGGCATTTTTGCAAGGACAAATTCTGCTCTATTAAAAGTGAAGAAGGCGGCATTAATGGAAGTAACAGGGAGACTTTTGCCTAAACTCAAAGATAAGTCTCCTAGTTTCAGACATTACTATCAACTGCAAATTTATTATTTGCTTCATATTCCAGATAATTGAGTTTTACTTAATTCCTGTTTATTATCCCAGTAAATACAACTGGAGCTTTCAACAGGGAAGGCACACTTTTGCAGCTGGCTGTGGGAAAGGGACCTTAGATTAGCAACCTGCCCTATATAAAACTCTTCCTCAGGCTTTGGCTGTGTATGGTTTTAGAATAATGAGAAGTTCCAAATGAGAAAGAGGCAAACCATTTTTATGGGTGAATCACATATTTGTTTGCATTCACTTCTGCATCAAACTTGACAGCTGAATTGCTTAGAGGATAAGAGTTGAAAAGGGACTTGGTGAATCCTTGGGAAACTGAAAGTTTCCCGCCAATGGTTCTGTTGATGTTGCTTTCCTGTGGTCTGAGATGTGAGGTTGCGAACCTGTTCTGTTAAAGGGAGTGTACGTTAGAAGAAAAACAGCTGAACAGCGATAGTGCTTTATCATGCAAGTTGGAAAAAAAATCACACACCTGAAGTAAAAGTACCAGTAGTATTTTGGTAACGCCAGCTTGACAGGACTGCTCTGAACTAAGTGGGTCATCCTCACCTTAGCTGAGTTGATTATCGAGTTATACCCAACCCCATTAGGCTTTAGGTCACTCCTGAGTCCAAGTGTATATGATCTATAGCTCATGACAGCACACAGTGGCTGTGTTCTGTTTTTGAGAACTTTCAGCTTAAGTTTGAATAGGAAGTAGATGACTAACCTTACTTTTTGGCAAGAAGTTATGCATAAGATTTTGAAGTTAAGCATAGCAACTATAGGTCACACTTGTCCTATAGCACCTGAAGGATGATGCTTGATTTTATCCACTTTGGCACATCCTTTAAAATACAGGTGGGCTACAACACTTGTTGCTAGCTTATATTTTAGTATTATTTAAAATAGTCTGTTAGGTTGTATAAATCCAGTTAGTACCTTACTTCAGCTACTGTTTGTAATACTGTGCTGCAAGACGAGACTAGTCAAATCTCTGACAGGTCTCTAGTGTTTTTCTAAAGAAATCTTATTAGTTCACTTATTAACTATCATTGCAGTCGATATTCAGTCCCAAAGGACAACAGCTGTCAAAAGGCTACTGTCATGTCAAAGCTCTTTCCTTGCATAATTTGGGAAGGAAACTGTGCAGGCAAAGTAGTGCTATGTGCCTGAAAAACAGTCACTATAATGGTAGAATTAGAGAAATATTACTGTGGGAACAAAGACAACAGCTGAAAATATGCAGTTCTTATTTTATAAACAGAAGACAGACAATTAAAGCATTTACACAGTTCTAAAATAGTATCTTATGATGAAGCTTCAGTCTAAAGTTAGGCTACTGTTCAACCTGGACTTGGCTTTGAAGTGCATTTACATACAACATTTCAATCAATCAATCAACTTTGTTACCGCCAAAAGCATTGCTGTGTATGCTAAAAGTGAGTTTGCCTCTTTCTTTTCTGGTAAAAATGCTTTGATTTTTTTTTTTTTTTTAAAAAAATTTCAATTCTTCTCTCCCCTTCCTCCCTCCCCAAAAAAGAAAAGATCTGGCCTCCACTAATGATGTTCAATGCCTTCACTTTTTTTTTTTTTTTTTTTTAAAAACAGTTAAGGCTACTTACCTAACTGCAAGTTTAATTTCTATTCCAAGGGGAATAACCAAAACTAGGGTAGTGAAGTGTGTCAAGCTTTATAGAAAACAGAGGCAGATAGATACTTAATCTTTGGGAGTAATATTTTTAAAGATAATTTTTAAAAATATTATAAAGCACTACCTGGTACTTCTCTTCACAATATTTCTCATGTCTCTTCTTAAAGCTTCTGTTAAGACATAGAAGCATCTGTACATTGTTCCTTAGCACTAACTGCACCTGTGGACAAACAGTATCAGCACTAAACTCATTAGCAGGCTCTTGGTCTTCCATTTCCCATTTACAGATACCTTTGAGTTGTTTTCTCTATTTCTGGCTCTGGATTGGAGCATGAAAGGAGGGCTGGAGTAGGCTCGCCCTCAGAACAAGCATCTTTCCCCTTTGTGCCCGCTATTAGCCAGATGGATACAAAGTCTTATTTAAAATCTGTCTCACAGCACTTGCCAGAAGCACCATTCAGCAAGGCAGAAGCTCTTACTCTGCTAGCAAACTTACAACCTCAAGCAGGAGTATTAGTTGCCTGAATAAAGTCCAGGGTTCACACACAGTACAGGCAGACAAGCTGATTCAAGATCTGTACATCCTCAGACGTCTCCCAAGTTCAGGTGAGAAAGGTGTTGGTAAGCAGCCTGAAGCAGGTGGTGAGGGGAAGATCTGGGTCGCTACTGAGCCACAGTCATTCTGGCAAGCAGGGAAGGACTACTGCAGAAGATGGGATGGGCAAGAGTGAAACAGAGAAATAACTACCTCTGTGTGCCTTTCTCCCATTCTGCTCTAAAACACATAGATCAAACTATAGAGGAGTTGGCTGTCCTAATTTGTAAAATTAGACACCTCTGTTTCAGCAAGGAAATGGTTTAAGCAGTGTCCATGCACCCCTATACTGAAGTGTTAAAGCATGACTCTTCACCTGAGATGTTAAGTCACCTCATGTCTTAAAACGGCAAATGTTATACTGAAGAAATACACTCATGCATGCACGTGTTCTTAAGCACCTCTACTGAATTAATATGACTGAAGATCTAGTCAAACAGGACAGTAAGGGAAAGGATACTAAGAGAATGATGATGAAATGCAGACCTTGAAGTAAATTCAGAGCATGTGCTATCTTAGATACTAAGCTAAGTCCTGATGCTGAGATTTTCTTTAGAAAGTGCAAGAGGTTGCAGCTAACTTAGCTCTGAGCAGTTGTTCTTACTGAAGTTAAAAAAACGAGTTTCACAATGTAAGCATACACAGACATACTCTTCAGTCAACTTTAAGCACAGCCTTAAATATTTCAAAACACGTATACACAGTTTCTTAATAGAAGCAAAGGCCACTGACTACAGGTTGTATTAGGCAATGTTAGAGCTCATTTTTTGCCACTTTCTGGGATGCCTCGGCTTTTCAAGTTCCCCATTGTGTTTCTGTCTGCTTTTCACAAAGTATTTGAATTTAGAGAGAAGAGATGGACTAAGTTTGCTCAGTCAGTACTTCTGGTTGGTTTCATGTAGCATAAAAACGATATTACTCCCCATATCATTTTTAAGACAACGAAATAACTGTGCGCGCCTTCAAATTAGATAACCATTCTTCTTTCAGTCTAAACATACTTAGTTCATTTTCTTCATGCTTGCCTGGTCTAGAAAGCACTGCTACTTTCTCAGCAATCTAGATTCAGACAAGGAAAGAGGATTTCGTAGGTGTTCTCTACGACTGTTGAGGCAAACGGTAATCATGCTTTTGTCAATACTAGTCAGTAAATTCAGGCAGGGAAGTAACAGAGCAATTTTATTTTCTATCAGTTATTTTTGGAATGTAACATTACAACAGGAGCAGTCTACGATTAAGCAATGGTTTTATTTTGACCACACACAGAAGGTAAAGTATTCAACAAGCGAGCTAGACTTCCAAGCCCCATCACAGCAGAGTTAAGCTACCTTTGTACAGATACTATGCAGATGTATCACACCACTTTACAGTGAATAAAGCAATCAGAATAAAATTAACCATTTTGATGACACAAGCAGAAGTAATCCATCTGCAAATTGTTTTACAAGTCCAAACAGTAATTCTAATGTTTGATAAAGAAGGGGGTCAAGAGCACAAACCTGTCAGAACTAAAGTTCTGTGCCTGTTCTTTTTAAATCGGTCTCTCCTCCGCTATAGTATTAGAGACTCAAAACACCATGAAGCAACTCTCCATAAAGCTTTAATCACATTACAGTAATGCAATGTTTCTGCCTTTAAGGAATACTCTCCACGTTGCCCTTTTAAATAAAAACTAAATACCTGCAAGAAAGCAAAATTACGTCATGCAAACGATACAATGCAAGTCTGTTTTTCGGTGTCTTTAAACAACTACGTGCGTATGGTCAGAGTAGTAGACAAATGCAACAGTCTTTCAAAATATAAACTTCATCTAATTCACATCTGAGTATTATGCAAGGGAGTTAGTTTCTGCCTACTGGAAAGAGTAACTTACCAAATCATTCTCAGCTAGTTATGGTGGCAGAATTACAGTAAGAGTTTTTAAATAAATCTTTAACGTATAGCTCACTGTTGCGGAGAGCTAGATAATGTAGTAATTTACTCAGCATCCTGATTTGGACTAGATGCCACAATCCACATTAATTGCATATCATTTTGAAGTTTAATGTAGTTCAAAATTTTACAGTTCTATCTAAAATTCTTACTGATGTATGAGCAGCCTACTGCCTACTGAAGACTTACCATTTATCAATGAATAGTACCAAAGGGGAAATATTTGTTAGGAAAAAACAATGGTTACACTGCATGATCCACTGGTCATAAATTTGCAAAAGCAACATCCACAATGAGTTTAAATGGAACACAAGTTTCAAGACGACCGATCATGTATTACAAACATCTACCAGTATTAAAAACAGATACCTACAGTTTCTTCTAGTGATATTAACTTCTTAAAATAAAACATCTTTTTGAGCAGATAGAGCTTTGAACAGGCTCGATGTATTTATTTTCAAGCAGCACAAGAGAAATCAAGTACATGTAGGTTCATTTACCAAATCACAGTTTCTATATTTAAAAAACTGCATTTACACCTTCACTTCCACAATTAAATACTGCCACATTTGTTTCTCTGCTTGGTAATAATTTCTACGGAAATAGGAAGCCTATTGAGGCAAGATACTAAATTTAATTACGAAGGTGCTTGAAACAGATGTACAAGGTTAAACAAGTGCAATTTATTAGAACACTGATCTAAAAATTATACTTGTGATACATAACATTTCAGAAAAAACTGGTGTTCGGTGTGCACAAGAATTCAGGTTATGACATTAAATGATTAATGAAAAATGCTGAACATTTTAGTCCAATCAAATATTAGGTCATCAATACTTTGTGGGTTTTTGGGACCTACATCTTGTATCTATATACACTCAGTAGGCAGTTCCCCAAACCCCGGCACATACAAAAAGCAGAATGTGATGCTTTTCACCCCAGAAAGTCAAGAGAAAAAAGAGGTACTATTGTACTAACTGTAACTCAGTTATAACAGTGACAGCCAGAAATGTCTTTGCAACATGCATCATGACCGAGGTGTAAAAATAATTACACTGCTTAGTCATCATAGGCAATGTCATCAATTCATTTAGGACTCTATATTCCTTGCAGTGAAGAAAAAGATGTCAGGGTCTTTGAAATGGAAGTTTGACTGCATTAATCTTTAGGGGTAAGTAATAATGCATGTAGTGGAAATTTAAGAACAGAGAGGAGAGGGAAGTAATACGCATTTCTTTCGGATTTATCTAGAGATGTTACAACAATTAAAGAAAGTAGTGAACTGTAAGAGCTTTTATTAATCCGAGTAGCTGCATGCCCAACTATAGCCCCAAAGTAAGTTTAAGTGACAGTCAAAGAGCAAGCACGTGCATTAATGAAGATCACTCATTACGAAGATCACTTCGCCTCCATCCACTGCAACACTATGAATTCACACCTCAGTCCAACTTGCTAGCAGAAGGGCGATTCTTAAAAAGACAGAAAACTAATGCAAGTTTTTTATTTTACCGCTTGTTAAATGTAGAATAAAGGGAAATACTCTTTTATCAGGCTGCCTACGTTTGTCTCTGCAGAGACAGCTGGCAGAGTAGGAAAGAGACTGCTGAAAGATCTGTCTGGTCTTCCTGCCTGATGAAACGCTGTGAAACATCAGAACAGACTCCCCATGCAAAACAGCAAGCAGCCAGGCATCTGCTGCGCACTGCGGAGGGCACCTCATTCTGCCTTTCCTCAGACAAGTCTAAACAATCTTGACGTTTCCAAAATTCCCGGGCCAGTGAGGGAGTTAGTGGGAGCGAGGGGAATGCAAAGAGCTAACAAATCAGCTGTACAGTGTCAGGGCGGAAGGGAATTCTACAGAAGGAGTCAAGGTGAAGAGGTGACAGAAACAAGGGTATTAAAAAAGGACCCTGCAAGTCCCTGTTACTATACCTTGTACGTGTAAATCCCAACTACTTGCCTAGCTCTTGGAACTCACCATCATGAGCTCCTGAGCCTACTGTGCCTTGGGTTGCTGAGGTCAGTTTTACAAGTGCTTAAATCCTTTAGGCCATATTCAGTCCTCACTACAACATGAAGCCTGACCACCCAAAATCCAGCCAGCAGATAACACAAAGTAACAATTTCATGAAAGCAAGTAATTTTCTCATCTGCTGCTGAATCAGAACGCTCTAGAACCGTCACGACCAACCGCATCCCTATTCTGATTTCACCAGGGCTCTTCCTGCAGATCAAGTATTCCTTAGTCTTTAAAAAGACACAGATGTCTATCATAGAGTTGTGGAAGAGAACAGAAGAGAGCATCAGTCATTTTAGAAAATACACATATTATACACAGAGACCAAAAGCAATAGTTACACTTCTACAGGTACATTTATACTTGTATGTCAGAAGCAGTAGATTAGAAGAGCTTTGTAGAGGCATGATTTGCCCTTTTCAAAGTAAAACTATTTAGACTAGCTGTATACTTTCAGGTTTTCCATGGCTGATCTATCTGTAGCTTGTCCTGGAAAAAAATAATGAAGGCTTTTAAACAGATCTTGTCTTTCCAAATTCAAATTGCTTTTTGAAGCAATAAAGCTGCAGATTAAGTTGCCCGACAGTGACTACTTGATACAAACGTAGCTTTTCTATTAACTTTTCAAATGCACCTAAATAAACCGGAAGTTAATTTCTTAAAACGAGTTACATTAGGATCTTCCTAGTTACCTCTTGTACCACTGCTGTATTTTGTTCGAGGAACAGAAGAAATAACTATAACTTGAAATCTTGGCCCCAGAAAAGAGCGTGGCAGAAAGCTGACATACCAATGAGGCAATAAACTAAGAGGGTCTTTTAGCGTATACAGCTGGAATATTTGATAAGGTAATACAGAAAGCAGTAACAGCTATCACATGGGGATGTTAGAAGATGCATAGAGGAATTCACTTTTCAAGAAACAGGGAATAATCTGTTTCAGAAGTAGAAAATGTATGAAGTAGAATATGCTTGCATAAGGAAGACACTGCATGTTATATATGAAATACAGCATTATGCCACATCTTGTCATATGAACTATTGTATTTCTTCACGCAAGGATATGAACTGAGCTGTTCCAGTTACTCTCTCAGTTCTGATGTTCCTTCCCTTATGAAAAAAAACAGTTATCGGAATACAACGTTCCCTGAGTAAACACAGAAAATCTATATAGCCGATTTTCATTTGGAAGAGTCTTCATAACTTTACTGGCAATAAAAATGTTCAGAGTTTGCCACTGTGTTAGTTTTAGGTAATTTTAATACTTTGTATTCATATGCATGTAGTTACATTTATGGTGTAATTACATCCTTATAGCTGATTCTATCCCAATTTGGGAGAACTTTTTTTTTTTTTTTTAAATACTTTTTCTGAAGAGATCGCTCCAACCAGACTCCTACTCATGTCCCAGGGTAAAACACAGCTGAAACATACATAAAGTCAAGAAGGCCTACCGCACAACATCAAAAAATACTGATTTCACAACTGTCACACAGATTTGTGGACGCAAAGAGTTAGAGATAGATTAATCTAACAACTGTATATGGCTACAGAGGAGAGAGGGAAAAAAAAAAAAAACCCTCAAGTCAGCCACAGTGTCACTTTGCACCATGCTGATTTTAATTTGCAGATGAAAGTGAGAAGGTTCCACCTGGCTTGGAACATTTCAAGGGTTCCCACCCATACACCTTTTGCAGACATGCTCTCAAATCTAACCTGAAAGAGAAATCAGTATTCATACTCTGGTTATTTCTATCAAGAATTCACAAACATTTGGCTATCTGAATTGAAAAATATAGCTAATTTACATAAATATCTTCAACATCCAAGAAAACGTACAAATCTGAAGTTAAACACATTTGGCTTGCAACAAGCCCTGTTTGCTAATGTCTTTATAAAGGCTCAGATTTAAAGAAAAGTAGTCATTTTAAGCACAACCAATATGCCGCAAATGCCATCCCGTTGTATGGAAACACTCACCGTTCGTCTAGACTTCTAGTGAAACTGAATGATAACATTCCACAGCTGTTTGCAAGCAACATACGCCTCATTTTGGTCCTGGACTGCTAGTCTCCACTCATACATTTTGAAGCAGTCTTTTTACAGCTCGGAGAAGCCACTGCACCTGAAATACTCAGCAGCACTGTGCAGTAGCATTGCTCAGTCCCCAAGGTTTTGTGTTGACTGTGTTAAAGTGGAAAACCACGATGACATGGCTGATTTTGCACTTGTGAAGGCTCCTCCAACTGATTGGCCTGCATTATAAAACAAAAGAAAGAGGGTCAATAATTGTCATGTTTTTATATCTTGTCACTACCAAGCCCATAAAACTGCACAATCAGTTGTCTAATTTGGGATTTAAAAATGCAAGTCCCCAGTCTGTGTCATAGAACATTCACAGAACTCGAACGTGGCAGGCCAGCAGAAACGGCCTATGTTTTGCTGGAGGACTTGCTAGGATCTAGTGTTGAAAAGTGTTCCTGGCCAGAGCACACAGCAGCGAAAACAGGAGCAAGACTTCAGCGCAATGAAAGAGCAAGCTAAACAGTTTTCAGCAAAGCTACTAGAGAACAGCTACAGGACTCTTCAGCTGGTGGACTCATGTTCTCTCACGCTGCACGACGACAACCTCATGAAGGTGCCCCGTGTTCAAGCACAGAAACTGCTTTTCCAGAAAACTGCAGACTATTGCAAAACCTAGAGAGACTGACATAAGGTCTTTCAGTGATTTCAGCCAGCTCTGGATAGTTTCAAAGCAATATAAGAGTGAGAATAACTGAATGCAGAAGGCAGTGTTGCGGTCTAAGCATTTGTAGAAGACATGAAAAGCTTTTACTAGAACATCTCCCTTCCCATGTTCCTATCCAGCTCACGTTGGAAAAGAAACTTATGCTAGTTTCTTTGGCCTAACTGCTTTTCTTTCTACTATCATGCAATATACAGGGCCTCAATTAGCAACTTTGCTCCTCAAAACATTGCTCTATTTTGTATGTATGTTGTAAAGTACACTTCGATTAAAATGCAATATAAGCAAGATATAGGATGCTTCTACAAGATCGATAGTGCCTAGATCCAAACTATCTTTGAATAAATTTCTTACCTACAGCTTTTCCTGTTTGTACAACATTTCGGCTAGTGGAAACCATCACGTTTCCAATCTTCTTTCCACGTTCGCTATTTTGCACTGAGCTAAACGAAAGAGATACGGAAAACTGTTAGTCAACTGACATATTATCATCTCTAATTGTAAATAAACTATAGAGTTAGAAATATCTTTTTTTTTTTTTTTACAAAAATATATACAAAAATAAAATCAAGCCCATATAATTATTATATTGGAAGTATGCATCTCATCCACACTGATCAGTTAGGCATAGAACAAAAAAAGCAAGCAACAATAGTTCATTCTTATAAAACACACTAGTACCTTTCCTAAATGTTTACTAAAACGCATTTATGTTCCAAATTACAAAAAAATCAAGTTTATAGAAATTTTGGAAAGTCTTAGCTCTAATCTGTAAGTCTTAAAGGAGAAATGTGTGTTCATGAAGAGTCATTATTCATTTCTCTAAACAGAGTTTACTTTGTATTTTGCTTTTAAGATGTAATTTTTGATCAAGTATAATTTAACTCTCATGCTTTTGTTAAAAAGAGAAGTAAAAAAAAAAAAAAAACCACACACAGACACTACCATCATTTGGAAAGGACAGCACAAAAGCAATTATCTCTATTGAACAAATGCAATCACTTGAAAATAGTCTCATTTAGTTTTAAATTATAAAATTAAAGTTTCAGACTCATTTCATACTCTGGAAACCTATTTATGTAAAACTCAACAACATAGCTATAGAAAAGCATGCCACATTCTCTTCCACTTCACAATTTTCTAGGTTAATTTGATGAATACTTTCAAAATCTTCAGCGTAGAGGAAAAGCAGAAAGAACAGAGTACGTCCCCAGAACAAGTTCAGGCACAATTTGCAAAAGTAAGTAATTTGGATGAGTATCTGACAGGCAAATTCCTTCTGAGGAATAAAGATACCGTTATAAAAATATTTTTATTATTAGAGACAACTACTGATCCTCTCACATTTGTTTCAGAGTACCAGAAAGTGTTAATATCTCCCCTTTAAAAAAAGGGGAGGGGGGCACTTTATAGATATCCTGCATCTTACAGATTACTAAACCTTTCTATAAAGGCTACGAACCACAATAACAGTAAGAGTTATAGTAAGAGCTGCTATCAGCACGTGCCTTATTGAAGGCAATTACCTTGAGAGAGTTCTTGATTCATTTGCAATTCTCAGTCTCCATCACAGAGGTTTAATCTCTCATCGGTCAGCAGAAGCAACAAAAAGATGCAGTGGGCTGAGGTCTGAACCTTTTTGCTCCTCAAGCTGCCCTTTCATGTTAGCAGGAATTTTAGGTCTACTCAGAGTGCGTTGAAAGTAAGTTTACAGTCAAGGCACATGCAGAATTAGCAGTGCATATGTACCGCTGACTTACAGGCATCTTATAGAACCAATCTGCTTAAATGTCTACAACAAGTCAACTATATAGACGGCACCACCGAATCTCAACAAATCCAGCGACTTCTATCACAGAATACATTTTACAGTCAGCATAGCTAAGTGCGAGAAAACAACCTATTTTGCATGATGGCTGAACAAAGAGAAACAGTTGATTGCAACTGTAAGACTGAATTTTGGCTTTAGTTAAGAGCTGTACAGCTGTGAGAATAACAAGTGCCACTGAGGCCAGTTTTAGACTTGAATATTATAGGTAAGAAATGACAGAACTTAAAGCTAGGACAGCGTTTGGTGCAGTAAGAAGTTATAGCACATGCATTTTAAACTTCTGAATCGCAGAATCTGAGCCATAGCCTCAGTACATATACAACGGACTCCAAGAGAGAATTTTTAGAACTGCCGCATTAAAAAAAAAAAAAAACACCTGAGAAAATGCACAAAAAAAACCCCAAAAAACCCAAATACTAATTTCTCCTAACAACTGGACCCAAAGCCAGCACACAGGAAAAAAGACTGATAAAAGTTTTAATAGCTTTGATTTACAAGGATTCCTAATAGTATAAAAATAAATATATAAAAGCCTTATAACTGCAAAGCAAAAATCAGGGCTCCGTTGTGTAAAGATTAAACAAAACAGTGTATTAGCACTATTTTCCCCTATTGCATGCAAACCGTCCACCTTTTTATGTGGTGAAGTTTTGCAAGAGAACTTCAAATACCGTTTCATGTACATGGGTGATTCAATTTGTTATTTTGTTTCCTTCACCATAGCAAGAGCTACACCGTTATAAATATTTAACTTTTTTTAAAGTACATATTGAAATACTATATACTTACTGCGACAATCTTAACTTAACATCTGATACAGAGTATTGTCCCTGGAATGGATGGCTGGAAGAGGGGAAAGAAACCCAAAAAATATATTTATTTATTTTTTCATGATGAATCCATATTACAACAACTGAAATCACTGGTTATATTCTTCTCTGCTGTTAAAAAAGAAAAAAGTCTATTATAGATGTAATAGCACATCACTTTATAGTAGGCTAGATCCAGTGACTAATCAACCTTAGATTTCTTATGAACCACCTGTAAGGTGCTTTCTATTTATAAATCAGATATAAGCAATCTTCTTTTCACACTAAGGCAGACACACACCTCCTTCTAACAAGACAGAGCATGAAAAAGTGATCCCTTAAGTAGGCCAAAAGAGCTTTGCAGGTCTTAAGAAAAACAACCTTCCTCTCCAGACTATGGCAACTGCCAAAGCAAGAGCAAAAACATACGCAACTCCCTGCAGTACAGAAATCATCCATGCTAAACAAAGCACACGTGGAGCCTACAGTGTTACCAAGCCTGGCATGGTCCGATATTAGAGCACAAAGCATTATTAAAGCATAAAACAATCCAAAGTATAAAAGTTGCAATATAAGCCAGCCAGCTTCCCTCTATCCCAACCAATGGCAACCTTGGACACAGCTATTCCCTGGACACCTGGAAGCAATTAAAAAAAAAAAAAAGAAAAAAAGAAAAAAAGAGCAAAACCATCTGAGGACAATTCCTGAGGAATGACAATAAGCTCTCTACAGCAGGGGACAGCCAACTATCAAGTTGTTCAAGTTGCATGTCTCCTGACTGTGGATAGTTTTCTTCGTAAATCTATACTGCAGAAATACAGTAAAGTATTAAAGAATAGAAACAATCTGCTCCTGTGCTCTCAGAATCCTTTCAGTATAGGGCTGCAAAAGTTTCATCCTCCAGGGCTTTCTAAGAGGAACAAGGGGAAGGCTGTAGCGCTATAGCATGGTGTGCCTGACTCTGCACCTAGAAACTCTCCATGCTAAGTGTGAAAATTTGGTTCCTTACCTAGAATTTACCTCTGCAAGAGCTGGATGCTTGTTGCTGTTCCATACTCTGTAGTTGTGTGTATTTTTCCAGGCTGCTACAAATGCCGTTCCAAAGTCTGACAAAGTCTTTTCATTGTCTGATAAATTAAAATAAAGATGAGTGGTAGCAATTTGTTGGAGATGCAATACAAGTGAAGGTTTTTTTTTTTTCCTTTAAAAAAAAAAAAACTAAAATTTTCTAGGCTCTTGAAAAATCAAAGTTCAGTCCAACTCCAATATTATGAACCTGACATTTCACAGATATTTTATTATATTCATTTTTAAAAGTGTCCAAAAAAATACAGAGCCAGGACAAAAAAAAAAACCCCAAAACCAGATACAGTTACACAATCTATGTTGTGAGGGTTTTTTTTTTGTTGTTGTTCTTTTTTCATGACACTACCAGGGCAGATTTTATAAAAAGCTTTTCATAATGCTTAAGAATAAACACTATTTTTCTTATTTTTTAAATTCATTTAGAAAGCTCTGAGGAGCGCAACTGGGAGGGGGGAAAAGGTCATCCAAACATAGCCCTCTTGACTTGTTCTCTGGGCAAGAGGGAAAGGAAGGCAACATAGCAACCAGGAACAGAAACATCACTTGCTTAGTGCATCTGACCACAACCAGTGCTTTGCTCTGCTCTGCTCTTACATATTCATATTTAGTAAACTTCAGTTCTATTCTAAAACTGAAGTATCAGCTACTGTAGAATAAACTTACAATAACATGCCCTTTAAAATAAAATACATAAGAGCATAGGAAATCATTTTAGAACCAGAGGTGAAGTAGCATGCGTTTCAAGACAAGCCTGATCCTTCACATCAAGCATGTAATCATTTTGAAGTAATAACGTTGTTGAACAAAACTTAGCCTCTTCTAGATCTTAAAGTGTAGTTCTCAGTCCCATGTCTTCTCATAAATACCACGGAATTGGTACTGATTTAGTTAACAATCAGTAAAGGAAAATAAGCATGAAGAGGATGAAGTTAAGAGGATCAGTGTGGGGCAAACGACATCTTCCAGAAATAAACCACTGATTCTTTTTGTTACATTCAGGCAGAAAAGGCTGGAACATAAGGAATTTCCTCTGAACTGAGACAAAAATGTTTAAGCTCCAGAAAACAGAAGCTTATAAAGCCTATAGCTGACACTTTTCACTTAAGTGAATTCCTACTTAAGACCATGGCAGGAAGGGAGAAGAGATGGGTCAGACCAAGACTCTCTTGAGGACAACCACTAACTTCTTTCCTCCTTGGATCCAATTAGTTCCCCAAACGGAACTTCAGGTGGCAATAGAGTCTGTATAATATCCAAGTTTGTAAAATCTCTTACTATACAGGGTCACAAGTTCTTTTACTTATAAGGAAAGCTTAATTAAATCAAGGAGATTTTGTTGTCCTTGGCTATCCTCATAACTCCTTTAGAAGTTCTTACTTTGCAGCCTTAAAGGCTATTTCTTCTCTGACCATCACCTTCTCCTTGGCAGTAGGCCAAGCACGTACAGCAACAGAGCAAATGCTTATTACATTCACGTTCATCCCAGCCCCTAGACAAGGAAGCCAGTGTACCTGGTTGTAGCACAGCAGCAAGTAGTGCATGAAGATAAGCAGTAAACTGAGCCCTGATCCACTCATCTCCTCCTTCCCAACCAGTGCCATCAAGGAAAACATCATCTCTGTTTTCAGTCACATGCTTCACCAAGTAATCTGCAAATCTTAGGTCAGCAGTCGTAGGGTTCAGGATCTTACGGAGTTCTGGATCATGGATTTGTACATGAGCATCTTCTATCTGTTTGAAATAATTCCAAGGGTAAAAGTGAATCCAAATGAAATAGTATGTGGCATTGTATATGTAAACAATTACTGTCAAACAACTACCTAAATCTAAACACACAGTCACAACCAGTATCAAGTAGAAACAAATAACCAAACAAATCACGAGCGAGCTATTCCCAGAATAAGATACCGCTGATAAAACCAGAACCTGATGATCTTCCTGGCACAGAGTAAAAGCTGCTTATTTCACAGTATTTGGCAGGGAAGTTTGGGGTTCACATGTATTTTCTATGATTTTCTCTTTGATTACTGTTTTAATTTATCCACTATGTTAAGTTGGTTGTGTATATGTAACTATGTTATGTTACCAAATGCTGATTATATACTTGCGACCATCTGCTAGAACACATGCAGTGCTTTCTTAGGTACTTTTTTTTCCCCCCTCTTTAAACTGTTGAATAAATCAGGAGGTCAGCATTAGTATGCTTTATTCTCCAGCTGTATACAGATACAGTTTCTCAGCTGCAGACATTTATTTTTGAAGAGCTTATTATAAAGCCATGAAAGTCCATAACAAGAAAACTAAAACGGTAGTGGAAAAAAAGTTTAAAAAATGCCCTACAAATTCAAATATTGGATATAAGAATACACAGGAAAAATACGTTTTACTTTCTCACAGCTTAGAGGTTGCGTTCTCTACCTAACAACTAATAGAAACAGAACGAATCCTGAAATGTAAGAGCTTATTTCGTGGGGAATTTACTCAGAATTTGGGCATGAACCTGAAACATTACAGTGATATATCCAAAAATGCAACCTCTGCTCTGCTCCCACCCCCTCCTTTTTTTCCCCTCCAGCTCAAGAAATTCAAATGTAAAGGTTCATACTTCTACAATTGCATCACTCAGATGTTTCTGCTGACGGAACAAGATGTTGGTAGCTCCAGCGACAAAGCCACGGACTGTTACATCTGACAGGAGATGATGTTGCTGCAGCGCCATGTATGGCAAACAAAGGTATCCCTAAAGTAACAGAGATATTTAGAGGATTATCAAAAGGACAAAACATTGCCCATATTCACAGTTTTTCCTAGCAAAAGCCAGCACATCCCCACCCACAATGAAGAATTCTGGTTACTATAATTTCAGCCATGATTGATTATTTCTTTGCTCTATCATATCTGTAAAGCAAAGGAACGAGATTTCACAGAAACTAAGTTTTTCAAGAGGTTGTAGAGTCTTTCAGTCTCAAGACTGAAAATGAAATACAATGCGAGTTGACAAGAAGCAAACATGCTTACACAGTAGCAGAATAAGCAGCATAAAACGAGCATAGAGGTCTCAAATCAGTTTAAAGACAAGAAGTCAAGGGAAACAGATTCACCTCATTTCTCATTTCCATACCATGCTGTCTTCTGGTAGACCTGAGGTACATAATGCAGAAAAGCTACAGCAACTGACACAGCTGCTGTCCACGTTTTGCTTACGGAGACTTAGAGGCTCCAGAGATAGCAGTCAATTTTGGTGAGCATGTGCACGCCTGCTTTAAGAGACAGCAGGAGAGAAAGCAACGCATTGTGTTTTTCAGCCACTCCATGCTTAGAAATTAACCTCTTATCTTACATTCCAATTAAAAAATTTTTTTTTTTTTTTTTAAAAGAAGCACCGTTACATTGTTACAGGTACAACCTAGAAAGCTTGCTGCATAAACATCCATCAATTCAGTGGGAGAACTGTGATGTTCTGAAGCATCTCAAATCCCTAAACACAGGAAGGTCCAACTCTTTAAGAAGCATTTAATTCTCTCTTTCCTTATAAGGCTTTTAAGTAAGTTATGCAAAGATTGTTGAGAAGAAGCTGTACATATTGTATTATTTCTTTTAAATGTAGAATCAACATACCCATTGAGTTTGCAACTCAAATCTAATTTCAGCTGTTTCAATTGTGTAAAGCACAATGCAGTTCATTCACTAGTACAAACCCAGAAGGGCTACTGGCATACTGGACAGAAACATAGAGCACATGTACTTTATCACACAGTACATGATAAGTGGAAACACATGGAAGAAAGGAGCACAACTATTCCCTTTTGTTATATAAACACAGGGATAGCTTTCCAGATGACAAGCACTTATCAGTTGAAAACAAACAGCCTGTTTCAAAAGAGTAACGGTGCTTTGAAACGGAATCGCCGGCCTAAAATAGAAAATATTCAGAAAAATAAGGCTTAGGAAGTTTGCAAAGAAAGGTCTAATTAATTTTTACTCAAATTTTAGAACTCCTTCACTATTTAAAATATCAAGTGTTGGTTCCCAAATTCACATTTCTCCATAAATATAAATGTTGATTTCTGTGAACCTTGTTTTTAAAGAGTGAGTGCAAATGAAATGAGTATTAGATCCTATAGAACTGGTACTAAAGAAACAAATATCACAGGCTATTTTTCCTTATGCTCTGGTGTATTTGGATATATTGTGCCAACTGGCCACATCTCATCCCATTCAAATCTGTCAGATTTGTTATTCTTCTGTGGCATTGCATAAAAGAACCCAGAGGTGAGAGCTCTAAATGAGATTTAAACTTGCCAGTAGGCAGTTAAAATTTAACTTGCAATCTCTTTTTCTGATGACTTTGAGATGTAAAGCCTCTTCTATTTTAATTACATTGGACGAACTCAAATGAAAAGTGCCTTTGTGGAACAGAAGGTAAACATGTAGAAACTGTCAACTTCCTTCCAAATTGTTTACTTTTCCATTTTATGAGCTTAGCAGCAAACAAGTTTGTACTCTTAGCCTCCCCTGCCTCCCTCCCCCAGTTATTTGCTCCTTGCCTTCAATCTAGTATTTTAATAGAACTAAACTAAATACAATTTACAGGCTCTTTTTCAGACTAAACAGACCATAAAGACAAACACCAGTTTGTAGATCTTTGCTGGACAGCCATTTCTAACGGTGGCTTGAGGCAATATAGAGCAGATGGCATTTGATCTGCTCATTTGGGCCTAATGTATTATTTCTCATGGAAGTTATTCTGAGAAGCTCAAATACAACTGTCAAATACAACGTTTTGCAAGGAAATGCAAATAAGCATCTCCAAAGGGAGGGAGACCACCGTGAACCTCACTAGGTTGAGTTTCCACTCGCTGGGCAAATGCACTCATCTAATAGGTAATTACATAAAGACAAAACAAAGGATTAAATCACTTCTTTCACTGACAAAGCTATGTTTAAGAGAGAGGCATCTGCCCTGGTTTGCATAGGTAACTCAGCTGCACTAAGCGTGCATCACGTATTATCTGAGAATGCCTATCAGAGTCCTCAGAAAAACTGTAATACCTGGAGTTCAGTTACACTTCTGTGTAATCTTAAAGCCCAGCACCTCAGTACCATGCACAGAGAAAGAGCCACAGATAACAAGGAAGTGCTAACAGACAAAGAAGAAATGTTATCTCGAGGCTTGGGTAGCAGCCAGGAAGTAGTTTGCAGATTCTTAGTTAGGACAAAGGTAACTAAATACTTAAGCACTCTGATCTTGCCCCATATAGATTAGATTCTTCGGAGCAAAATAAAACAGTAGTTACTGGTACCAAGCATCCGTTGAGCACAGCGGGTCTGCAGGTTACAGTCATTCAGAACTGCAAGCAGTATGCAAGTATACACGTGACAGCAAAGTGGAAGGCACATGCGCGTGCACGCACGCCCCCCTCAGATACGCACTTTCTTTTTTATCTGCCGAGGAACACCCAGCCACTTGTCAGAAATTGTACTTACGTGTACATTTCTGTACTCTAAAGTCCATTTAGAGTTGGATAACCAACATTATTAGCCACTTCTGTAAAAACAGAAGTCTTTTTGAGCTACCAGGTATCACGAACAACCTGTTTACCTTTGTAAAAATAGCCAACGGCATACCATACTGGTCCTCTTCCAACCCAGATATCAATCCTGGAACAAGCACCACGTGTCCTGTATTTGCCTGGGGCTGCACAGTGATTGGAAGGCTTTCTGAGCAGATGCATTCTTTCGGTAGGTTTCCAGCCTGTTCACATGCTTTATTTTCACTTTTTGCTCCTTTCAAATTAGACTCCTCCAAAATGCTAGGATCTAAGGTCTCCCAGTCACTTTCAGAAGACTCTGGAGAAGGGCGGGAAGGAACTTTCAAGCGCTGTACAGTACCATTGGAGGACTGAGCTCCATTGCAAGTCTTTGACTGGGAAAAAGGCACGTTTGCTTTTTGACCTTCCAATGAATGGTCTCCTGCCATCTTCCTGCCTCCCTTTCCCATTCCCAAGTTTGTATTTGAAATATCAGCAGCAGACACAGAAACATAATCATCTAACCGTGGAGTGATTTCCTGCAAGCCAGCATCCTCTGAAATACTTTTTCTTGGTCTATACTGTGAACAGTCAGTGAGACCATGTTCAATCATACCTGGAAAGTGATATCACACATGAATACTAGCACCTTAATACAAATTCAAATGATTTTTGTTAAATATAATGAAGGAAATGCTCTTCTGCCCATACCAGAAATCACATATTTCAGAACACTACTTTGAAAAAAAATCTGCCCCAACCTTTTGCTTTGAGCAGAATAGTTAGAAGTTAAGAATTACTTAGCTAAGGATTTCCCCTCCCTTTCCCTTTTTTTTTTTTTTTTTTTTTAGGGATGTATGTAGAGGAAATACAGCTGTATTTTTGGTTTGCAAGAACTTGGCAAGAATACATGCCCAATGACTTATTCTGAGACCCATCTATGTTACCAACAAGCAATAATAGAGAAGATCTAGTAGCTCTGGTTAAACTCAAAGAATAATCCATATACTCCAAGTAATAAGCGTTAGGAGATGTGTCCATACTACATGGACAGGCATACAAGGTATCCCATTTTTCAGGCAACATATTGACAGAACTCTGCTGTCACATAAGTTGTTTTCCGCATGAAACAGTACAGCCAGTCTCAGGTATGAACAGAAAC